TATAATATCTCCATGATATAAATGAGTTGAATCAACATAGTCTTACTAAGGAATTTCTCTCAGAAAGAGAGAAACATGGGCTGCTTCTGGGTACCTTACAGTAGTGGCCAAAATTGTGGAATGGTCTCATCACTCCAAATAACACTGCCCCATTGATCCTCTGTCCAGGTAACATGGGTTTTAGCCAGTGGTGAAATTCATTTTTTTTTTTTACTACCGGTTCTGTGGGTGTGGCTTGGTGGGGGTGGCAGGGGGATGATACTGCAAAATCTCCATTCCCACCCCACTCTGGGACCAGTCAGAGGTGGCATTTGCCAGTTCTCCGAACTACTCAAAATTTCCGCTACCAGTTCTCCAGAATCTGTCAGAACCTGTTAGATTTCACCCCTGTGTAAAAGGGAAGAAATATGCCAGCACAGTGCATAACATTTCAGATTTTTACACATTCAAATTCTATGCAGTATAGATTGCTGATACACCCAGCTGATAGCAAACAGAAGTAATTATCTTAATCATATTGCAAGATGCTATTCTTATAACCCTCATATTTCAGAACCACCTGTCTTATTAAGGGAAGCACGAGTAGGGGAAAAAAAATTGTACCTTCAAATGCATGTTCACAAACGTCATCATGTGACATGAACTGTTTCCATCCATAGTTTGATTTTTTTTTAACTACAATAATTTTCCTATTTTCAACTGCTAATCTGTACTGTGATGCCCCAGTAAGTGCCCTTCCATGACATTGCCACCGCAGGAAATACTGGGGGGAGTCACATTGTGTCATTATTAGTGATGGCTCTGGGTTACTGAAGTTGAGTCCAAGGCACATACTTGTGCCTATGTGGAAAAGCTGCTGTTTAGAACCCCATTTCCACAACATGTACTTAGAAACTTGATTGCAGTTTTCAAGAACGAGCTCGGAGGTTTCAGCTGTAATACATGTATTGAAATTCTCACTTTGAATAATAAATATTCCTTTTCCTAGAAGATAGAAAGGTTTGTGTCATGTCATGCATACAGTAGGGAAGAGGTATTATCTAGCTGCTTTGGACCATTTTGCGAAGAATAGCTCTTAAAATTTTGCCAGCATTGTAGCTGACCAAAATGTTACTTTTCCCCCCTGCTGTCCCAGTAAGGTGAGTTATCGAACCCAGTGGTCCCCAACCTTTGAAGCTTGGCAGCGCAGCGCGGGGGGGGGGGGGGGGGGGGACCGGCCTGCGCAAGTCAAGTTGAACATGTATGTACCAATCAGCTGCTTGAGCAAGTTGAGCCAGTCATACAGCCCAGTTCCGAACAGGCCAGAGCCTGTTCAGGGGTTGAGACCCCAGATCTAATCACAACAGGAAGGAAAGCTCAGAGGGCATCTGATAAGGGATTGGGGGTACATGGCAAAGCAAAGCTGGAATCTTGACAGGATGCACTCTGGGCTCTCCAGAGAACCAGCTGCTCCAGGCATAACTGGAAAAATATTAAGCCTGACCTTACTTCTAATTTTATTGAAAACTTTGGAACTCAAGCATACAATTAACTTCTATTAGTTCTTTCTTTAATAAAATTTTATATACAGATAGTCCCCAAATTGCAGCCATTCTTTGACCATTCAAAGTTAGAACCACACTGAAAAAGAACTGAAGTATTACTGTTTTTCACATCCATGAAACAAGGATAATCAAGTTGATAGGCTTGGGACAGCTTTGGAATTTTGAGAATATTACAATGCTATAGCTATTCAGAAAGCACTAATTTATTTGTAGAAAAACTGAAGAAATTTCTTCTTCTTCTAACCCTCAAATTAGAACCTGCTACCACCCAGTTAAGCCATTCTTTTTCCTGGAAATTTTAACAAACTAGAAGTAGTTTTTGACTTACAACAGTTCATTTATTTGAAGTTACGACACTGAAAAAACAATGACTTCACACTCACGCATTTCTACAATCACATGATCAAAATTTAGATGCTTGGCTACTGGCATATATTTGTGACAGTTGCAGTGTCCTGACCCGTTTGCTACCTTCTGATAAGCAAAGTCAATGGGAAAGCCAGATTCACTTAACAACTGAGTTACTAACATAACAATTGCAGTGATTCACTTAACAACTGTGGCAAGAAAGGTTGTAAAATGGGGCAAAATTCACTGAACAACTGTCTCGCTTGGCTCAATTGTACTTGAGGACTCCCTGTACTGGGTTTTAGTCTCTCACTATTTTATTTTTTAAGTCTGTGCAAATCTCACAGGCACTCTTGTAAATAGAGAAGCTAATACCTTGCTTTGCAGTTTAATTGCAGTTTCCAATTAAAAATAACAATAGTATCTTAAAGACAATTAAGATCAGGCTGGTGACAAGGGACATGTCCACAGGCATACTGTCTACCCCTAAATAAGCAACATTTACCACATATACAGTATGTTCTAAAATCATTATTTCATTCAAAACCATAATCAAAAGGGGTTTTGTGCAGCATGGCATTTTCACAGCCATCCATACTTAGCTTTCAGCTGGACAAAGTTATACTCAGTCTTACTTTAGATTTAAGTTTCTTCAGGTATCAAAAATTTCAGGTATGAAGGGAAGACATACATGCTCCACCTTAGAATAGAATAACAAGTTGGAAGGGACCTTGGAGGTCTTCTAGTCCAACCCCCTGCTTAGGCAGGAAACCTACACCACTTCAGACAAATGGTTATCCAATATCTTCTTAAAAACTTCCAGTGTTGGAGCATTCACAACTTCTGGAGGCAAGTTGTTCCACTGATTCATTGTTCCAACTATCAGGAAATTTCTCCTCAGTTCAAGATTGCTTCTGGCCTTGATTAGTTTCCACCCATTACTTCTTG